CTGTGCTTTGTTATAGCTGTTTTGCAGTTTGGGTATATAGGCAGTTCTATGTCACAAGAAATTACTAATCTGGGGTTTGAGAAGGGACAGCTTAGCCTTCCATTATCTCAGCAGCAAGCTCTGTACAGGATTATTTTCAATTTTTCTGCGACCATTACAATGTGCTGTTATAGTGGGCAAAGCAATGAGGGAGGGAATGTTATTGATACTTGGTTACCAGGGCAGATAAGATAAAGTGTATCACTGTCCTGGCATCCACATTTGCAGTCAGTAGTGGAAAATTTGATGAAAGGAGTACATTTGGACAAGGAGTATCATTAAGATATGGGTCTGGACACTTTCCATCTGTATTTACTGTAGAGTTTCTCTTTACTCATTGACTGTAGTCAAAGAATAAAGAAATCTTATTGATTGCTTGGTTAAACAAGTTCTCCGCTGCATTTAAAAGCAAAACAACATGTTACATCGGGAACGCTACTGTTTAAGACCAGTTTTTATTAAACTGTTCACAGAGTACATAATGGAAAATTACACTTTTGTCTGTCAATTTAATTTCTTTGTTACTGCTAACAAGACTGCTCTGACTTAAATTTTGTAAGTTATTTTTACCTTTCCAAATGTTCCTGAACGGTTCATATTGCCTGGGCAAACCCCCTAGGGATAATTTTCATTTGCATGCAGACTTCGATGGGGTTATTAAGCAGTCACTCCTGTACTAAGTCATTATTACAAGTAATGCCACAGAGTTGCAAAGACATATTAACAGTGTCAAACAATCCATATTTTAGTACTAGGTTTATCGTAAGGAACAAGTGATAAGTTTCAGAGAGGTCAAATGCTGCTCTGTAACACTGCTGCAACCTATGGAATAGAAAAAAGTAGAATTTGGCCCCATTGTTTTTACAGTAATTCCTTAGCCCTTATTTGTTGTACGCCTGGGTTCTTTTAAATTTGTTCTGTTAGCTACCTACTTTAATGGATTCCAAGACTGTGACTATCTTGTTTGACCTTCTGCATAACACAAACCGTAGAACTTACCCAAAATAATTCTTGGAGCATATTTCTTGGAGGCACTCTGTCCCTGGAAGCTAGTCTGCAATCTCCCAACATACATGTGTTGGATTGATTCTGGGAAGGAGGGTCAGCCTTCCCTGACATAATCACTGTTTATAGCTTTCATTCATTCTTGAGGTGTTAATGTAGATCAAATGGAAAACACTCCAGAAAGTCTGTTACAGCTACTGCGCTGCCCTATATATGGTCCCAATCGTTAATTCTTATTGTAAGATCTAAAGATAATTTTGTTTGCTCTCCTAATGCATTGCAGCTCTCCCAGTGGTCCTAGCAGATCCTTTCTCAAATTCACATCTTGATCAATTGTTTGCAAATAATTAAGCTTTTAACAGATAATGGTATGAGGCTAATGTACACAACAAAGTAAAGGTCTCAAATCACTGTTTATTGAACAGTGGGTCCAATTTGCTTTGATATCCCAAAGTGAACTCAGTGTTAGGTTGCCAGCGGGAATGAGTGCTACATTTATAAGTGACTTTTTAAAAGAGTATCTTTGTCCTTTTAAACAAAATTAATAAAGATGCACTCTCATGGAAACTATTATTGCTACATATGTAAAAAGAAGATTAGCAGCAATAGGGCAGAATGAATTTCCTATTTCTTCATTAAATGGCAGTTCTTAGGATTTTCCCCTTTTATCTCTGTTGCAATGTGATTTCTGCCATTGCCTGTAGCATATGCCTGACTAGCCCGGTGGGTGGGAATGCAACAAGACTTTGAGAGTTTTTATAGCAACCTAGCCCATGGCATGTTGATTCGTTGTCAAGTCATTTTTTCAAGCCTACAAAGGCACAACTCTGTAGTATCCATAAATAGCTTATATAACAAGGATGCCCAGTGTTCAAGAGATATTTTAAACATATCAAGTCTCAGTTTAAAAAGCATACCTCATTGTGAACTTTTGGCTGAGAGGGATTAGCTACATGGCTTTCATGTGATTATAACAATTATAGATTTTTCATGAAATTCAAAGTTTATGCTACATTAAGTCAATAACTAGACTATGGAAAGAATCAGATGACCTTAAACACACCATGGTTTAAGGAATTTTGTTTTGATGCTTGTAAAGCAATTATTTATACAGTGGTGTATTATTCTGATGACTAATTTTATCCAGTCTTGTCTATTTGAAAAAAAGTCCAGAACAATTGAAAATTGCTTAATGGAGACAGAGTTCTCAATTCCAATAGCTAGAGGCTATCTGGTAATTATTGCTTGCTGCATAAAATTAGACACAGTTTGTTCAATTACTTAAAATCAGATCACATGCAAGGTGACAAGGCAAAATAAGAAAATAAAGCATATCCTTTTATGAAAATGAAGTTAGAAAAATGAAGAAGTAAAACCAAATAATTGAAAGTCCACATGTCTTCGCTGTAAGCTTTTGAAGAGAATACTGAAACTATTTCAAGCTGAATGGTCAGGTTATCCTAATGGGATAAGATAAAATTGATAAATATAAGTAGAATACAACAGTTTGCTTCGTAGTATGTAAATAAAAAAATGTTTCTGAAAATAAACACAAATAAATTGCTGCAGCAATTACATTGATTCTAAACTTAAATTGCATTGATACTGTGATGATAGACCGTAAAAGAACTGAAAGGTGGCTAGCAAACTCAGCAAGAAGGGGCTATCAGCAAATAATATAAATCAGTATGATTTCTATAAAAGTTCTTTAAATGGTTGTGTCGTATTTATGCCCATAAAATATAATTGTCATCAGTTGAAGTGTAGCTTAGCTGTAATTAGCAGTATGGAGCTTGACTGGAAACATTTTCAAAAGGTAAAAAGATATTGGTAATGGAAAGTATATAAGGTATATTCAGCCTACATATAGTGCATGTTGAACCTGACTAGTGCAGCACCTTTGGGACCCGGCCAGTGTTGAACCAGAGAATTTGCCAAACTACAGGATGTCAGTATTGTCTAGAAGCATTATCAAGACTTCCCTGCTTACAGGGCTCTTAGAAGACATTTAGGGTAAATTAGAGCTAAATAACAGCACAGAACACTGAGAACTAGGACTGGTGTCTGTAAACAAACTTTATGAGACTGCAGGAAACTTGACCACACCCATGATAAGTGGACATCCGGCTAACTAAAATCATGCCGGATCAGAGAGTGCCAGACTAGAGACGTTCAACTTGTACTCCACCACTGATGAGTAAAAGTAATATTAATCATTTTTCTATGTCATGGGCATATTCTGTTAGGGTATGTCTATACTGTACGCTTATTTAGAAATAAGCAATTCCGGAAGAAATACTCCAAAATAGCTTATTTCGAAATAGCATGTCTTCACTACAGGGAACCCTCAAAATTAGTCCAAGGCAGGATTCCCTAATGTGGATGCACTACCTCTAGTTAGAGCCCCAGGGGACACTGGGGAGTAATTAATTTGAATGGCCCTAGGGAGGAGCTATTTCGAAATAGCAGCAGTGGAACATCCACAATAGATGTTACTCCTCGTGGAATGAGATTTACAGAAGGTGGAATAAGTCGTCCATTATTTCAAAATTATTTTATTTTGGAATAACGGCCGTTATTCTGAAATAACGCTGCTGTGTAGATGTACCCGCTGCAGTGTATGTTTTGTTGGACAAACTGACAAGAGAAAACAAATTGAATTCTGAGTGTTCATAGTCTGTAAGATGAGTTAATTCAGTAATGCCAATTACTGTAACATAACTATTAGATTTCTTGTGTTGTCCTAAAAGTAAGATCACTGAATTTTGAGTTATAAATTCCTATATTTACAAAAGTTTTAGTTTACATCTTTTGTAATTATTATATCTAATGATAATGCCAAAGAAGAGTGGCATGTTTGTGGAAAAATGGATGTGTGCATAGTACAATAAAGTCATGAACATCCTGTTTGGATATGTCAGATCTATTTTATTAAATAATTTTACTGGAAATTTAAAATAACTTTATCATGTAGTGGACCAGAAGTTAGTTCAGGGAACTGTGGCATTTCAATTTCAAGTTAGTAGTATGTTTACCTGCAATATAAGGCCAGAATAGATTACTCTAAAAAACATTTCTTCCCAGAATTGCTGCATTTGTGGTTTTGGTTCATTTTCTTTAAAGACAATAATACTTTAACATCAAGGGAAATGACACTGGCAAAGTTGTTCCTAAATTCAGACTTGGATGTGTTTTTTGCTTTTAACTTAGTAAGCAATTTGTATTCATGCATAAGTGAATTTTTGGAGAAAGCAATCAAATTCTCACAAGAAATGTAACTTATGATTTAATTTTAACATTATCTTCATTTAAGCTAGTCTTTATTTTCTGTCTCTCATGATTAGTGTAGCACAGCTATGTTAATGTCAGACAAAAATGTGCTGATCACTGACCTTGAATTGGCATGTGTTCAAAATCCCAGCATTTGTTGCTGTTCAAGATGCTGATCTTATTTGCAAATTATTTTCAGGCACAGATAAGATTTGCCTTTATTAAATCAGAATTTATATGTGTGTGTGTGTGTGTGTGTGTGTGTGTGTGTGTGTGTGTGTGTGTACATACAGTCTGTGTGTGTGTGTGTGTGTGTGTGTGTATGTGTGTACATATAGTCTGTTTTCTTTATTATTTGGTGGAATGAAGAAAAAGCTATCAGCAGCATGACTTTAATCAGAAACATAAGATAATCTCAAAACCTTGCGATATTGCAACAAATAGCCTTGCTGAGCAGCCAGGTACTGCCAATATTCTAAGTAGCTATTTCTACACTTCACTAATCTTTGTAATTGGCTTGTCTTTTACTGCCATTAATTAAATGATGTAGTAGCCCATTAATAATTACAAAAGAGTGACACACCTCAGCATTTTCACCTTTTAATAACAGACGTCACACTTTATTATTAATTAAAATGAGTAACACCATCATTTCAAATATATATATTTATTTTGGTATCTTATAGCATCCTTACCCTTCAGAAGAACAGAAAAAGCAGTTGGCACAAGACACGGGGCTCACTATTCTTCAGGTGAACAATTGGTAAGTAATTTTACTTAGTGTTTACCCGTAGCCGGTAGTCTGACCTCTAGCAACCTCCCTCTAATGACTGGCATTCTGCTGACACACCCTGCAATTGCTTACTTTTTGTGGAAGTTTATTGATGCAAAAGTGATGTAGCCTACAGAATGGTTTCAGTTATGGGAGCTATAGTTCTAGTCCTGGAGAAAACATATAGTATGTACTTTCTCATAGCTCTTTAAATAGCTGCATTTCAGTTTATATGCATGTCTGTGTTTTTTTCTGAATATAAATGTGTATGCAGAACCATCCTTTAAGAAATCAATCACTTGAGACACAGAAAATGTAAGTGAGATGTACACCATTCTGCCTATTTTCTTCGGGCTAGATTGATTAAGTCCATCGCCATTTGTATCAAATAATTTTCTTTTTTACTAACAAGGTTAATTTGGTATCCTCTCAGTGTATTTGTTGGGCTTTTTTTTTTTAATGAAAACCTTGAGACAAACTTTAAGAAAAATCTGCTTTTTCCCCACTGAAGCATTATAGGGAAAAAATTATATGTGTAATTCATTCATTTTAAAGTAAAGAGAGTTGTGAGCCTTGATTTGTTATAGCAGAGATGGCTTTAAAAAATTAAACCTTTGCTATTTCTGCACCAGCCAAAAGTATTCTTATTTAAGTATAAAATTGTGGCATCAAGACTAGTTTAAACAGTCTGATTTATTATCCTTTGTTACTGCAACAAATCCAGGTTTCATACAGAATACCAGAACGAATGTCACATTGCAAGTGCATCAAAACCTAATACCCTGTAAAACTAAGTATACCTAATTAATTGTTCTTATATTTTTGAATTAGTCTTTATGATGGGAAACCTTATCTTCTTTGGAGTAATACCCAGAAATTGCCAGCATAAGCTGCAAGCTTGCTGGGGGGAAAGGGAGTCAGGAGTCCGAGTTGGCAGACAAAAGTTGTTCTCTCTCTCCCCTCATTCAGTAAGTGTCAGAGATTATTATTACCGAATCTCTGATTACATAGCCTAATCCATTTTAGTGAATAAATTTTGTCTTGATGTCCATTGCACCTACATTAACTAACCCTCTTTGGTGAGAGAGACTAGAAGCCTATCAGAGAGATTTCAGCTATATTAAACCCCATTACAGAAAATGTAATTTCTGTCAATATAATCCCATGTATTCTTCAATTTAGTACTTCAGAGATAACAAGCTACTTACAATATATTTGCCTTTGGAGGATTAATTTACAAAGTGCACTATCTGTAAGACACAGGCAGACTCACATAAGCATAGCTTGTAAGGGTTATCAATTTCTGTGACCTCACAGCAGACCTGGGAGATCAATTTTTTTTGCAACCTTGTAAGACACTGATTAAAGAAAAACAGAGAACACCTTTATATGCTGAAGTGTGCTTCCAGATATTTACTCTAAAAAGAAAAAAAATCCTAACATGATGATAATGTATATTTTACTCGCAAATTTGGATTTCAGTATTCTAAATCTCCCAGGGGAAGGGTATCTTCTTTTTTTGTTGTTTGTTATAGATTTATTAGACCACTGTTTGTCCAATCAATATCTTAATTTGTATTGTTGTCCTTAAGTTTAATGATAGATGCTTTTGTCCATTTTAGAGACCATGTAGATAACCTGGGCTCCTGCTTAATGATGATGGCTAAATGAAAGATTGTTGCATTAGAGAAGCTCTGGAAATGTGCAACTATGTACAGTTAGCACATCAACACATACCATCCGCTTACTTCAAACCTGCTCCCTACAGGGTTTTTCTTTCCATTTTTCATATGCTAGCAAATATACCCTGTGAGCATTGCTACTGTATGTATGTCATAGGGATATTTAAACTGTTTGTCCAAGGCTATATGTCAGCTTTCGTTAGAAATTTCATGCTGGGAGAACCTTAGAAGGATGAGCCTGTGAATGAAAGCCAGGAAGTACGAGGAGAAATATGAAGTTAGTCCTTTCAGTCAACAGGAGAAAGTACGAATGGAGGATTGGACTGAAGTAGATGATTTCCTATGGACAAGTATGTCAGTTTTGGATGGCTTATGAAAAGTTTTAGGAGGTAATGGCCACAGCATGCTTTTGAACTAAGCCTAGTAGAGATTTCTCCTGAGTGACATTGTGGTCTCTCTTGGTACCCAACTTGCCTTATAATTGAAAAATTACTTTGTTGGTTTTACATCACACATATTTTTATAAGCTCCTTTTGCAAAAGAAAGAAAGTAGATACAGGTCAAAATATAGTCCAACTGAAGTCTCCTGGCTGTAGGATAGTCATTACTGCATGTGCCAGTTTGATAATTCTCCTATGGAGTTACAAGTAAATTGTGCTAGTCATTCTTGAGACAGTTTCTCCGCCCTGCCCCCCCCCCCCCAAAAAAAAACATTTAAAGCTGGAGAGCTGATTAGGTGCTTTTTTAAAATTGTGCGTCAGTGTTTGATTTCCCATTGATTCTTGAAGGGGCAGCATTGCCAAATGTGGTATAGAGACTTCCAAAAAGAGCAAGTTAAAAAAATAGATGTTATGATTGAAAGTCGAAGAGAGCAGGCCACACAAAGAACTACTTAAAACTACCCATGGGAGAAATACTGAACAGCTCATTTGACCCCCAAAGTTGTTGTTAGATGCAAATGTTTCCCAGCATTTTTATTAATACATTTAATAATAAGGTAAGCAGGAGAACAATTTTTTTTGCATTAATTGTTTGCTGCAGGGAGCAGCACATAGGTTGTTTATTCTTTACTTTGCCTTTTTTTCAGCAGGCTCCTAAGTCATTCAGCCACAACTTTCAAAAATTGTTTGCCTTCCTTCTTAGATTCTTCAAAACTTGTTAACACATTGTACATTTTTGTATTAATGATGAGTCATTGTAAATCACTGTTACAAAGATTAAATAAAAGGATGAAGGGCTGCCCGGGTGCAGATCAGTCATAAATTATTGGCAGCTACACAGCATGTGGGAATACATGAAATGTGCATGGAAAACATAAACTCGTGTCTAATAGCATAGTAGTTAGTCCAAAATGGGAACGTTGAATTTTCCGGATAGCATTGTAACTTTGCCACCAAAGAGTTAGTGAAGAGAAGGTTTGTTTTGTGTAGTTTGAAAGCATTTAAACTATTTCTTGCATGATATTTCAGATGCCTTTACAATAAATGCTAGTTTTGTATTTTAATTTTCTGTGCAAACTCTTAATGAAAAGGAGATGATTTTTCACATGCACTCAGAAACATCATTGTTGTTCCATCAGTTGATGTACACAACTCCACTTGAAGTTACAGGAGGTTGTATGCATGAATTGAAGGCATGAGATGTCCTACCAAACTAATCAGTGGCAGGATGGATGTCTTAAAATAAAGAAGTTTAAACAAAGATGCTTTTTTTATATTAGAATTGTCCAGGTAAGTGATTTTTATACACAAAGATTTTGATTGTAAACCAAGCAGCATTTGCATTTGGAACCATAGAATACCAGGACTGGAAGGGACCTAAAGAGGTCATCGAGTCCAGTCCTCTGCCCTCGTGGCAGGACCCAGTACTGTCTAGACCATCCCTGATAGACATTTTTCTAACCAACTCTTAAATATCTCCAGAGATGGAGTTTCCACAACCACCCTAGGCAATTTATTCCATTGTTTAACCACCCTGATAGTTAGGAAGTTTTTCCTAATGTCCAAACTAAACCTCCATTGCTGAGGTTTAAGCCCATTGCTTCTTGTTCTATCTTCAGAGTCCAGGAAGAACAAGTTTTCTTCTTCCTCCTTAAGACACCCTTTTAGATACCTGAAAACTGCTATCATTCCCCATCTCAATCTTCTCTTTTCCAAACTAAACAAGCCCAATCCTTTCAGTCTTCCTTCATAGGTCATGTTCTCTAGACCTTTAATCATTCTTGTTGCTCTTCTCTGGATCTTCTCCAATTTCTCCACATCTTTCTTGAAATGTGGCGCCCAGAACTGGACACAATACTCCAACTGAGGCCTGATCAGCGCAGAGTAGAATGAAAGAATGATCTTGTGTCGTGCTCACAACACACCTGTTAATACATGTTTTATAACTGTTTTGCAAACCATGTTTGCAAGTGTTCGATTTTGCTGTTGTGGAAAGTGTGAAACATCATTGTGTAGCAAAAAGCTTGTTGTGAGAACTACAGTGGCAGAATTCAATATGTTGTTAGTCTAAGCCATTAAAATCATTCACCTGCCAGTCATTTAACTCCCTTAGTGCTTTAGATTCAAAGCATGATAACTTGAACTAGAAGGGGCATTTGTTCATTCTTGACAGTGTTGTATATAGGGACATAGAGAGGACCTGATAGAGTAGAGGTTACTATGGTTTCCCCCCCGTGCTAAAAACTTCTGTTCTGTGATTGAAACATCCAGAAAGTGCAATACAATCACTTATTATTTCAGCAGAGAGCTAGTATAGGGTATATCAAACAATCTATACAGTTTCCTTGTTTATTGCATCCCACGTAAATCTGTGCCTGTTAAGAGCTAATGTTAAATAATTACTAGTGGTACTTTTGGGAGGCAAAGCAATTCTAATCACGTCCTACAGAAACTACAGAAGTGTATTGGATATCAAGTGTGTGTGCGTGTGCGCACGTGCACACACACACACACACAGTATAGCACAATGTTATGACTGTGAGTCAAACACTCAGAAGTTTGGAAATGCCAAACTAAAGGTTGCCTGTACAATTTTTATGTGGCCCCCATGTGTGTATCCCAGTGTGAAAAAGTCTTTAACAATCACACGATCATATACATTTTTTCCACATTATCTCTGCCTCATTCAGAGCACAGGATGGACAGTACACATGAAATAATCAGCTATTCACTTTTGTTTTATGCTCATTCAGTGTTTCATTTGCTTCATGCTAGTCAAATCTTGCTTTGAAGACAGAATTATTAATTTCCTGATGGACCTCTTCTATGGTGCTAATTGCTCTTGTATCTTAGTGCTTCACAAATACTA